ACCACCCAGCTGCTTGACAAATTCCACAAATTCAATGTAACAAATGTCTAAACTGTAAAATTCAACAAGTGTTTCATGTGAGAAAGGCCAAGTCTTCTTCTACCAGGCTTGGGTTGTATGTGATGTCAATATAGGCTGCATTCATGCTCAGTCAAATACTAAACACAGGGCTCTGTGGAGGAGGAGGAGGAACAGCAGAAGACACTTTACACTTTAAAAAAAAATCATGATCTTTGGATAATCCATAGTACACAAGTAGTTTAACACCCTTAGAGCAACAAAAAAGATGTCAGCTTTCAACCTGAATGAAACTCACTCAAGCTCTTTTAGACCCACACCCTCTTCCTGAAAATCAGTAAATACGGCTATGAAAGACACACAGCTTTAGGAATAACAGACACTCAGGGAGTCTGAACGTGAAATGACCACCTTCTAACAGCAATAAAGCACTGTAGGCCAGGTACAAAAAAGTGAACTTTATAAGATAAGGTTTAAATAGTAAGACCTTTCATGATGAGTTAGTTCGAACCTTACAAATACGGTCCTTAAAAAAAAAAAAAAGCCGATCTGACACAGCTCCACTCTAGAGCTATAGGTACTTTTCAGATAAAGTGTTAATTCTGTACTTCCCAAGCAAGATTTTCAGTTTGCTGAAAGAGGCATGCTTGCAAAAGAGAATAATGAATCTCTACATCAACTTAAATGCAATAACAACTATTTGCAACCAGAACATTGGGGCACTGTATCTACCAGTACTGGTTGAGTGCAGTTTTATAGGCAGACTGCTAAAAACAGAACCATTTCACTGGGTGCACCACTTTGGCCTACGAAGCAGCATCTTTTTGACTGTTTTTAACCAAGCGAAAGATTCAAGTGCAAATGAGATTCAGCATCGATTCATGGAAAGTGATATGAATTGCAAAACACTCGCCAAGCGTTCCAGGGCTGTGCCAGGGCGGAGAGGCACAAGATGGACTGCAACGCCTCCCTGGTCATGTTTTTGAAAGGACACATGAGATAATTCCCCCCAAAGCCCCGTGAGAGTTTGAATGTAATAAAATCCAAGGCGTGCTAGATGTCACTAGACCACAATTAGGAAGGAAAATGGGACCGGCACTTTACATCAAAAACCACAAATACTGTATGTTTCTGGGGAAAAGGGTAAAGAATTAAAAGCCTTTGTTCTTCAAATTAAAAGGGCTATTCAAGCACTCCTTGGTGTCACATGTTCACAGTGGGTTACTCAATCCTGCTGTAACTCTAGTAATAAGAGCCTGCTCGTCAATATCACAGCTTAAAGCTGCTGACCCCTTCTTAGTTTCCATGGAGGGAAGCCTGTCAGGTCTGATCACTCTCAGGAGAGAGGAAGAGAAGAAATACGAGAGGGCACGGAAAACAAGCCAAAGAGCAACACAGACAAACCACTTGTCCAAGATTCACCAGGGCACAGGTGATGTGCTCAACACCCTGCCAACAGACCCCTTTCCCATTACGAAAACCTGAACTGACATGGCCAAAAATTAGTAGAAAAAAAGTCAGAAACGATTACTAAACAAAACGCAGTTTTAATACTGCCCTTCATGAATGGCTCTGGCTCAAGCTCAGACTCAGACTCCCCCAGAGAGTTCAATACCCAGCACATCAACGTTTTAAAAACCCATGCCATGGAATCAATTATGGATCATAGTGACCCTGCGGGACAGGTTAGAATTGTCCTGGCCATAACTCTTTTCAGGAGTTGAAAACTTCACCTTCTGGAGAGTGGCTGGTAGGTTCAAACTACTGGCCTTGTGGTTAGTAGTCCAACATGTAGCCCACGACGACACCAGGGGCTCCTCGTCAAAGTTTAGGTGTCCATAACTTATGTTCAGCTCAAACCAAATCCACTGCCACGGAGTCGATCTGGACTCAGTGAGCCCACAGGACAGCTCCTCGGTGTTTCCAAGATGAAATCTCTCTCCTTCCTACAGAGCAGCAACTTTGAAATCAGCAGCCCAGCATTTAACCCACTGAATTTAACCTCCTTTAACTGAATGCCAGGCACTGAAAGCCTTGAATTAATTTGTAACGTAAAATTTTAAATTACACTTTCTGGTAAATTAGAAAGTCTGCTTATCAAAAGGAAATTCGACGCTAACATTCTCCATCAAACCATTCTAAATCAGCTAATAGTTGTTGGATAGCTGAGCTAAAGTTTCAAACCAAGTTTTCACCCAGATCTCTGCAATTAGGGCCTTTTCTCCAACATGTCTTTGAATTCATTAGGAACTTGTACTTTACCCAAATAAAATATGTAAAGCAGCCACAAACATCTTCCAAAGCCTTTGAAAAATATCTTGAGCCAAGTGATAAATACTAAAATTTCATTGAAAGATGAACCTCAAGAGATTGAAAGTTCTCTGCTGGACAACAGCATCACACACACAAAAAATTTTAAGGGGTGGAGGGCGCAGGGGAGCTGATTACATAAATAAACCAGGCAGAGCATGGCTAACAAGCTTAATTTAAATACTGGAAAAAATTTTAAAGGCTTGAAAGACAACATTCTAGTTTAGCCCTAACTCCAAATAAACAGAAAAGCACGCGCAGCAAGAAAGTTAAGTTGTATACAGAATTTTAAGAAAACAAACAAGATACAGAATTTTCTAACACTCCTAAGGAGTGTTACCTAAAACAAATACTCATTAACATCTTCCTAAGGCACATAATTACTACCAAAATGTAATAAATAGTCTGCCCACAGGGGTGATTTCTAGGAACCCTCTCAACCTTTATGAAGGCCTGTTCTTTTTGCTTCATAATGTAAGCTTCCTCCTCAAAGCTCACGAGACTCAGCATATACTGTTTGGCTCGACGGCAAATGAATATTACTATCAAGGAGTTTGACCTATTTATTCTCTTTGTAAATTCAGGCTTAAAATGACAAACTGGGCAACTGAACATCTTTATAGCCATCAGAGCCGACTTTCTTCTGGAACACTGGAGTACACTAGATTCCTGGTCAAAGAACAGCTAGGGTGCTGCATGTGATATCCCCGTTTAATATTCTGATGAGCGTATACACGCAGACATATGAAAGAAGGGACATCAAAAAAGTTCGCGGAGAGATGAAACTGAAAGATGATAACATTGTTCCATGCTTTTGTTTAAAACCCCCTCCTTTATGCTAGAATAGGGAAGTAAAGTAGAAAGGTTCGGAATGAATGAGCAATTACTACCTATTCAGAGGGAGAAAAGCGAAAAGATTAAAATAAACACATTGGAAGTTTAAGACTTCAGTGGAATGTGCATTTAACCTTCTTAAATTGAAATAGACAAAAACAATGCATTATCATCCACTGAGACGATTTGAGACACTCTGAAAGACAATCCAGGAAAATCTGAGATGTACATTTCAAAACTGTAACACATACTCTAAACTTTTCCAATGGACAATGTATTTATCAGTATCAACATTCCAATCAGGAACAAAATTTTTACAGCTCTTTACACACAAAAAAACCACAGGTCCAAACACTTTAAGATACCCCCTTGTTTTACTCGGGTTTCTTTCAATTTGGTCTTCAAGACAATTATCATTCTCGTGTGAACAAAACAAACATCCGCCTTCCAGGTGTGATTACAAGTTAATACTTGTGAAAGTAGCAATATTTTACAGCTTACACGAGCTCCACAAAGCTGTTGCTCCCGCATGAAAAAGTCACCTATTTGTTGGGTCATCAACTTTAAAAAGCATGCCATCCAGCTGAGATGTTAAATTCAGAGTAGGTAGATGCCATTGCATTCTCTGATTTTCTTCATAAGACAAAGTTCACCACAAATCCACTAAGGAAGTTCAAGGAAACGGAAATGAACGGCTTCCCAAGAAGGCTATTGGCTTGCAAATTTCAGTGTGGGAAGAAAGACCTCTACATTCAAAGGGACTGACTGGTTTCCAGAAGGGAACCAAAGAAAAAGACCCACTTGCTACGCATTTGAAAGAATGGCTATAGGCTAATGGAGCTAAAAGTAGAATCACTTTCTCACCATCACTCCTAACTCAGAATAAATAAAGGTGGGGATGATTTGGAGATTTAACTCTCCTGAATTCTGCTGAGATAACTTGATTTTTTTAAAATCCTTATCACCAGAAGCTAAATTCTTCAATCCAAAGCAAAGAACGGATGCAAGCAACTGACAATGTTGAAATCTACCAACCAGAACCCACAGCGCCTTGATTTGGCATAGCCCAAATCCTCAGTGGAAAGAGAAAGCATTACACTGGCTGCCCCTACATCAAGAAATTGAGCTGGGACTGCAAAAACAATGGGAAGGGCTTTTGGTCACATTCTTATAAGGACCTCTAATGCAAGTCAATTGACAATGATAAGTTCTGATTGGAAAGCCTAGAAGAAGGAAAGAGGCGGATATAATCATTGTAGACGCAAGCTATAAGTCTGCAGAGGAATCTGACTTGACCGGAAGCCAAAATAACATGGGGTTTAGTAAGGCCACCAAATTCTACCAAACCAGCAGGGCGGAGGGGCTGTCCAGTTGACAAGGAACGGCGGGAGCTACTTAAGAGTGAGCAAGGTAAACTGCCAAGAGGCGGAGGCAGGGTGTTCAGGAGCCTTTGTGCTTCCTATGTGGGTATATGCACGTATAGGGCTCCCCAAGTCCCAAACGGCCTCAGTCCCGGAGCCCCACGAGAGGGGGCACGAGGAAGCTCCTCTGCGGCCTCCTTCAAGCACAGCTGCTTCCTGTACTTCCTGGTAACTGGCCAGGGGCTACCTCCTCCGCAGACCTTGCAAGCTCAGGGCCTTCCCGGCGAACTCCAACTCACAGATTGCAAAAACGGCCCAAGTTAGTATCACGCCGGTTGTGCGAGAAAGCTGTGACTTGACCAGGAGGCCTCGCCGGGCCGTGTCCCCTGATCTGGGCAAGCAGGCGCGCTTCAGGGCCGTTTCTCGAGCCCTGTCAGCGTGTGCCCCTCGCCCGTGCACGCGCAGGTGACCCCTTACCTGCGTAGAAGCGGACCAGGCAGCCGATCTCAGCGTCCATGCCTTCCTCCTGCACGCGCCACAGCTCCCCGAAACCCAGCTGGAAGAGGTAGTCATTTTGGATCTGCAGTGGCTTCTCGTCCGCCTCCAGCCTCCGGGTGGTCTCTCCGTGCAGCTGCACGTACAGGGTGGGCGGCGGCGGACTCGCCTTCTCGGCCGCCGCCGCCT